CCGAGGCATAGCTGGAAGGGAGACGTGGGCACTGAGGCCGGGTTTGGCGCTGGCCCGGGGTGCAGGGGGTGGAGGGCTTGACACAGTCCCGGGGATAATTCTAGGACTTGACTCTCAGCCCCCAGAGGATCTGTGTGGCACAGAGGCTCATGCCAGCCTTCGCGGGAGGCCAGGGCACGCGCTTACCTCTTTATTACAAGTGCAGCTTGAATTAAATTAGGAGGGAAGACGACAAGCTTTGCAAATCTCCTTTGCACAGATCTGGGGATCAGAGGCGCTTGACGGCTGGAATCGCTGGAGGCTTCTCCTAGCGCACGGTGCATGCGGCTCCCGAGCGACGCGGGGGAACTGCTGGGCCATGGAAGCTTCTGGCTGCTGCGCAGACGAGGCCCAGATGGAGCAAGCTGTGAGGCTTAATTAGCGGGAAGGTTTTCTCCCCGGATCTGAGGCCTCCTTTTGACTCCGAAGGAGGGAAAATAAGGAGCGGGTGACGGCGTTTTCTAGTTTTGTGAAGCTGACCACTAATTTAGTTCGATTCTAATAAAAAATAAATACATGGCAGGTCCTAGGACTCTTACTGTTTTCTTCTCTGACAGGCTTTCTAATATTTTCCTACGGTTGACATGTTACAGAAAGCAGGCTCTTGGCTTCAACAATGCAGATCTTATCTTGCAAACAATTTCAAACAGAGCGCAGAGTCCTCCTCCGGGCACCTGGGGCCAAGCGGAACTTCAGGACACAGAGGAGGACCGAGCCGTGCGCACAGGGCGGGGTTGGGAGGCAGGGGCGCGAAACCCTGAGCTAGCTAGCTCGAGGAGTGAGAGTTTGTGTTTGGGGGCCTGAAAAATGAAAGTGCTCTTAAGCCCCTTCCTGGGAAGTGTGGCCCCTGGGATGTCTTCCTGCTGGCCTTCCCTTCCCCGTGCGCCCCCCAGCCTTCCTGTGCGGAGGGACGGGTTGAGGGATGCTGCACAACGTTGAGGCAGCTGGATAGAGTGTCGAGGAGGGATCAGTCCTGGTAAACCTTGTGACGAGTCGCTTCTATAAAACTTTACTAAAATGCCAGCAAGGTTCGCCCCGGACGCGTGACGATGGACATCAGGACAGAGGTCAGGGATGCGCCTGTCATGGTGCTGGCAGGCATGCATCACATTATGAAGCAAAAATGCTGTCACCTCACACCAGCAACTGTCCAGACCGCAGTGGCTCCGGGCGCCTCTGGGACTGAGCACAGAGGCTGCTGGGCTGCTGGACCGTGACCCTGGTCCAAGATGACTGAGGAGACGGGAAAAGGCAGAGGCAGAGGAGAGCTATTGAACTTGAGACCGGCTGGGGGAGGGCCGAGCCCTGAGCTCACACGTGGTCACTCACGCGACCGCTCGGCGACATGACCAAGGCGTTGCCTTGGGGGAACCTGGCATAAAAATAGGCGGCGTGCTTTGCTGTGACCTCTGACGTGACCATCATCGTGCGGCGTTGTTGTGTGTGTTATGATCAGCCACTTCAGTAAAAATAGATATCGAGAAGATTCTGCCCAAGCCCTGACCGTGTCAGGGACTCGGACCGAACCACCCCAGGCGTCCAGTGGTAATGCGAGGCCCTGTTTGTACGAGAAAGCATGACGCTAATAGAAATCGTGCTCAACATGCGTATTGTAACGGGGTATGTGGTTCTCCGTGAAGCCGCTCACAGTGATAAACTGTTTATGACAAGATCCTCTTTCGCTGCTTCAGTTTCGCTGTGTGTTCCAGACTCGCTTTGAAATGGGGCTGGGAAACCACCGGGAGCCCCGAGAGCCACTGGGAGCCGGTGTGGGCGCCCGAGTGAGTGTGGCCTGGCGGCAGGGTGGTGGCGACGGGGCGGTGGTGGATGTTGGGGACGCAGAGGGCTCGCTTCGCTGGAGGTGGAGGCCTCTGGGGGCTCAGCCTGGGGCGGGGAACCTGGAGCTGTCTTTGCTTCGTGTGTGACCCAGCAACGGAGCGCAGAGCCAAGGTGAGGGTGTGCGCCTGGGTAACCTCCCGGCCGCTTTCTGGCTTACACTCCTCACAGCATGGCCTGGTTCCCCCCAAGTAGCTGATTTGAAAGGGGGAGGGGGCTCCCTGCTTTGCTCACCGTAGGCCCGCGGCCCTCGGAAGACAGCATGGCTTTAGGGAGGGCAGGTCCCTCACCTGTGCCGCTGGCTGTAGGTGCCGTGCCGGGCGCCGCGGGGAGCCCAGGCCCTGGCGTGATGCTGGGTTCAACACATGACATCACACGGACAGCCCCCGACTGTCAGAGCTGGAACACAGAGTGGGCGCCATGCAGGGGTCCTGGCGCGCCTGCGAGGCCTGCAGGCGGGTGCCTGGCCCCCCGGCCCTGGTCCTCCCGGAAGAGGCGCTCTTCCCAGGACCCCTCAGTAACCGCCAGCTCAGGGGTTTACGGGGCAGGGGTGAGGAGGGCAGGCTCTCCTTCTCACACCTACTCACAGCTCAGAACTGTCCTACTGTGCGCAGCTGAGTGCAGGCTCTAGGGGGGAGCTGTGGGGGCCGGGCCCGCTGCAGGTAAACCGGGGCCCTGCCCACAGCGCGGCCAGCCTGGCCAGCTCCTCACCACCAGGCTGCCTGTCCTTCACTTCCCAGTGTCAGCAGTCCTGGGAACAGGAAACGGCTTATGCAACAGGAAGCGGGGGAACTGATGACTGACTGCTTTTGAGCCTGTGGATACATTTTCAGCTCCAGCAGAGATATGCACACATCCCCAAACACATGTGCACTGGTATGCGTGAGCTAGTCCCAGGCCTCACTCCCTTGAGTTTTTCAAACAGTACCGTGCACTGAAGGTGGGCTGTGTGCCAGGGGGTCGCTGGGCACCTCACGCCCACTCACTCCCGTGTCCTGACCGCAGCCTTAGGCTGCGTGATCGCCTTCACAGGGGAGGAGAGAGAGGCACAGGAGGTTGCTGGCAGGACCGAGATCAAACCCAGGACTTCTGAGCCGCTACCCCGGAACCCTGTGCTCAGCTGCCTCCCCCAGGACCAGCAAACTCTCCAGGGTCAATGTTTAGGACTTGGTTTCACCCCTTGGGGTTTAAAGATAATCCGTCCATGTCATCGGTAAGAATAGCATTTCTAGGCCTGAGGTATCACTCCATCTTCTCCCGGGGCAGAAGGAAGCACTTAGACCAGGGGTCTGAGCCTCCTTCCCCCAGGCTCGGGCTCAGCGCCCTGACCCCAGACAGGGGGCCGCTGCTGCCCGCGCAGCGACAGGGCCTGGTGGAGCGATCAGGCGCCGACCCAGCGGGATGTGGAAACCTGGTGGCGGAGAGAGAGGGGACAGTCAGGTCTGGTTGTGGGGCCCTGGAGGCCACGGGCCTGGCGCAGAGAAGGGCTGCGCCACTGCTCACTGGCACCGGCGGTGGCGTGGGTACTGGAGGCGCGGGGTATGGCTGGCTCAGAGGCCTGTCTTTGAGCTCAGTGACCCCAAATCTGTTTTCCTTCATTTCACAATTTAACACTGAGTGTGTCTGCTTCTCGCCTCTCGGTCTTGCTGCTCCTGTGAACTCACCTGGACAGAGACAGGGTTCCGGCACCAGTGGGGCCATCCCACCATCTGTCACAGCTCGGGGTGCGGTCCCCCCCACCCCAACTCCAGGCTGGCACTATCAATAGCACTGCTACACAAACAGCGTTACTCCCACCCAGCCCAGACGTGTTAACAGAAGTGTTACTCATTTCACTGTACATTTTATTTCCATCTAAAGAAGCGATGCTTAACCACCAGTGAATATTGAGGAAAACAGAGTGTAATTAAGGCCGCTGTGTCACGTTGGTGGCCCTTTGGAGATCTGTGAAATGTGACCGTAACATCCTCGCAGATGGGCTGGGATGGAGGATTGGGGAACAGGAGGTGCTGGCGTCAGCAGTGTGGCTTGTGGGGTTCCGCAGAGGAGCGTGAATGGTGTGGAGCGGGGGAGGGAGCGGCGGTGGACTTGCTTGGTGTGAGATATAAAGCGTTTACTTAAGGAGGAGTAACCGTGTTGCAGCTCTGGCAGCAACCTGACTATGAAAACTTTATTAAAATACAAAATAGTGAAGCTGGAGAGTTGGTATTTTGATGTAACTGGGTAGGCATGATTTGCAGAAATCTTTCTGAATTTGGTTACATGCCCAAAGAACCTGTGCCTATTTTAGACAAAAATAATAATAATAACCATGTTAGTTGCAATTAGAAAAAACTAGTCAGTTCAGGTTTAATAGACAAGAAATAAACAGCTTCCTGAACGTGTGCGTGAGCTGCAGCCGGAGGTCACGGTCAGGGTGGCTTTCAGCTGGCGTGGCAGGGACACGCGGCCGACCGGGGCTGCAGCCGGGGGGGGGGGGGGGGGGCGGGGGGGGGGGAGCAGGCTGGCCGTCGCTGGGTCAGGCGATTCTGGAGGCTCGAGGGGGGGGGGCTGGGCCTGTGGCTGAGTGGTCACTGCGCCGGGGGCCGGGGGGGGGGCGGGAATGCTGCCAAATCCAAAAGCTGATGAAGCTGTGTGTGTGTGTGGCTGACCACCAGGGCGGTGAGGAGGCCCTTTCACTCTTCAGCCCACGCAGGTGATGCGGCCACAGTGATGGGGACACGCCCCACCGCTGGGAGCCCTCACTGTGCTGAGAGCGCTGGCTTTCAGACCGTTACAGGCTCGGGACGATGGGTGCTCTGGGCCTGTTGCCCCAAAAGGCGTGCTTCCTGTGGAGGGAGACAGACCTGGCATCGCAAGCACTTCTCAGGAACCACCGAGTCACACAGCAAGCCGGTTCCCAGGCTCCCGGGGGCCCGGCCCGACCCTCCTCCTGCTCTGCCCCTGTCCGGAGGCCGGGTCCCAGAGGCCCCTGTTTACTCAGCTCCGTGTCCTGGGCTGTGAGCCGCTTGCACAGCTGCTTGCCCGTCCTACAGCCCGCGCATGTCTGTGTGCTGCTTTCTTTGTTTTTGTCGCTCGTTCAAACACGGGGTTATTGAAAGTAATTATTTATAAGGCCACTTGTAAAGCGTTTTTAAAGCGAGGGCAGAAGAGAGGAGCCTGGACACTGCCCTCCAGGAATGTCTGCTCTCCCGGAGGCGAGTTTCCCCCCAGGCGCGCTAGCTGCAGGGTTTTAGTGCCCTGCTTTTTATTAAGTTGTAATATGGTGTGTGTTCTTAAGGATTTGATTTAATCCTTTCAAAGTTATAAAAATGTAACATCTTTCAGTCAAATTTATTGTTCAAGGGAAACAAAAATGCGTTAACAAATGTTTTATTTTAATAAGGAGTACAAAGTCGAACACAGACCATTTTTTAACACATTTCTTATTGCCGCGACATCACCATGTGGACAAGTGGCTATCCCAGACACAGGAATTAAATCACAGCCCGGTCTACTTGCCGACAGGATGAGAACATCTTATTCAGAATCACAGGCTTAGAAAGATTTCCATGACCGCTGTGTTTGAACCTCAGAGAGACCGAGGGATTTACTCAGTGTTGCACGGCTCACTGGGATGGGACTCTCCTAGTGCCGTGGTCGGCAAGCTGCGGCTCGCGAGCCACCTGCGGCTCCTTGGCCCCTTGAGTGTGGCTCTTCCTAAGCCTTAGGAGTACCTGAATTAAGTTAACAACAATGTACCTGCCTATATAGTTTCAGTTTAAAAAATTTGGCTCTCAAAAGAAATTTCAGTCGTTGTACTGTTGATATTTGGCTCTGTTGACTCATGCGTTTGCCGAACACTGTGACCTAGTGGACTAATAAGGCCTTTTTATACCCAGCCCAGCATCTTTTCCCGATCTGACACCAGCAGTATTCCAATTAGCGCACAGAGCTTCATGTTGGAAAAGATTCAACATCACCACGGGTTAGAGTCCTGAAAAAAGAAAAGACTCAAAGGTAACAGCTCTTGGGGTGCACAGAGGTCACTTACAGGAAGGCCAGCATCGTGCCAGCCACCACTCAGGGCTCGGAAGGTCTGGTGTCCATCTTGTCCCCAGGGTTTACTAGCTGTGTCACGAGAGTCACGTCACTTCGCTAACTCTCTGAGCCTCGACTTCACTGTAAATGGGGGTAATCATTAACTCGGAGCTGCTGTGCATGCAGTGGGGGTAATTAATAACTGAAGTGCCCGGCAGTTTGTAGGGACTCCCAAATGGCAGCCCTCTTTTGTCTCTCCTGCCCCACGCGGAAGTCTGTTTAGAAAGCAAGAATATAGAGAAACTACTGGAAAAATGCACGTTCAGGTATAAGTTAAATTTTAGTAAAGGATAAAGGCACTTGATTAAATGCCTAGGACATGAGTAGACAATTCCTTTGCTCCTGAAATGTTTCCTTGCCTTACTTATTTAAAATGAACACAGAGATTATGAACCAAACAGTTTCTCTTTAACGTGTGAAAAAAAATCCAGGCACAGGTTCACCCTGAAGGCACCAGATCCCGAAGGAAATAAACGGGTCAGCCCCGTCCAGGGACACGCTGGGCACTGGTCTGCAATCATAAACTATAGATCGCCTGGCAGCCGATCAAAACAAAATGCATTCTCAGTGCTCTCTGATTCATATAATAACAGACCATTATTCCTAGCTAATGTTTCTGTTTAAATGTGGGATGAAGGTTGGATTACACGCACAGGAGCCCGCCTCTCGGCCGAGAAGCTTTTTGCCTCTAACGTTTCATTTAGGGTCAAATGTGTGGAACCCGACCCGGTCAGTTAACGTTTAACCGCTGTGCCGTGGTGTAAGCTCCATGTTAGTATCACACCGGCAGCCATGTAGTGGTTTACAAGCAGCACAGCCGGCATCAGGATGGCGGAGGGAGCGCCTCCCATTTGACCAGGCTTGTACTTGCGCTATCAGGTATCGGCGTGCTCACTCAACAGAGCCCATCTGACTGTTTTATTAACTTCCTTGTATCAAAAAAATTCCTATTGTCAACGGCGGGGGAAAAAAGGAGACATATGTAATACTCTTTGTAATACTTTAAACAATAAAACAATAAAAAAAAATTCCTACGTCTTCTCTCCATGAACACTTTAGCTTGGCATTCGAGGCCGAACAAAACCTGGCATCTACTACTCTCAGAGGAGATTCCTGCCCGAAGCCCGCACGTCCCCCTTCCCGCATTTCCGCCACCCGCCCTACGCTTTCCTCCCTGGGAACCTGGGCTGTTGCTCAGGCCTGAGTTGGACGTGTCCTGAGCAGTCTGGCCTCGGCTCCCCGCCTGGAATGCAGTGTTCATTTCCATTCCCACAGCATTTTGTCTTTAGCATTTACTGTTACCAGTTAACTTTTTAAAAATACATGTTTTTATTATTGATAGTATTACAGATACCTCCCACTTGCCCCCCTCCCCTCCCTCCATCCCCTAACTAGTTAACTACTTTTCATCTGTGTAGGACATTAATGCTCAGCTTAGCCCCAGCGAGCTGTGGGGTTAATGACGGGTACTTCAATATTTCCTGATGAAGATATTCACACTTACAATGTGCCATTTCAGCTTTTTAAATAGACCTATGAGCCCTATCATAATTTAAAAGAAGCCTCCAGAAATCTATGAAGGCAATAAACAAAGATTTACTTTACAGAGACTGGGAATGCCCTATTCCCTTTTAGAAAAAGCTAAGGATTGTGATTTTTTGAAAGAACGTTTGAGACAAAAAGCCATCAAATGTTGATTCTTAAGTCCAAGGAACATGTGAGTTCCTGTAAGAACTTCACGGTGATGGAAACACAATGTTTGGAAAGACTGTAATGTTATGTTTGAAATGTGAAGAATAGCAATAAGCAAAGAGAGTCAAATGGAAGAGAACCTGTGAATTACTGATGTCAGGAATGGAACCATTTTTAGGGTCAACATATTAGAGGACGTCCTTTTTCACAAAAAACGTTGTTATACGGATTTTCAACTGGAAGCTCACCCATAGACATGTTCTGCGTACATTGTAACTTGTCAATATCGTAATAAGATGATGTTTGTATAAAGAAGTGACGTGGGGAAGGACTCTGCATGGCTCCTGGTGCACGACCAGCACCTGACACCATCTTGGAACGTATTTTTAATGGTCCCTACACGAACCACATGCCGGCCTAGGCGCTGGGAGTTACGCATAGAACAGAATTAAGTCCTGGCTCTCAGGGAGCTGACAGTGGGGGCGGGGATGGGGGTGGGAGGGTGGTGACAGACAAACTTACCCGTAGACAGAATGTGTCAGGAGGAAATAAATGTTATAAAAGCAACTAGAAGGAGGGTAAGGCGACAATAAGGAGGCCGTGTGTTCCCTCCGGTGTGGCTCACTGCGGTGGCAGAACACCTGGAGCGGCCTTGCCGGCCTGTGGGCAAGGAGAGGAAACACCAAGTGCAGAGCCCAGCTAAGTCAGGAGGAGTTCTTACTTCCCCTTTTCCTTGAGATTCAGACAGAAAGAGCTGCTGCGGAAGGGAAGCTTGGCATAAGCTCGTGCCCTGGAAATCCCGGGTCCCCCTGCTCGCCTGTTTCGGGGTGGGAGAGGGGCTCCAGCCACCTTGACAGGGGAGGCAGTGGACATCAGGTCAGCAAGGGGTCAGCGGGTCGGAGCACCCTGGGGCTCCAGGCCTTGCTGAGGTCCGGGTTTTTCATTGGAGGGGGAGCCAAAGAACGGTGAGCAGAGCGGTGAGGCGATCCATCTGAATCTGAAAAGGGAATACACAGTAACCCGTCAAATGCAGTTCCCGTCAGAGTTTTAATACACGGGAAGTGAATACTGCCTAACATGTTCTTTTTTTTTTTTTAAATATATATTTTATTGATTTTTTTTAAAGAGAGGAAGGGAGAGGGATAGAGAGAAACATCAATGAGAGAGAAACATCGATCAGCTGCCTCCTGCACACTCCCCAAAGGGGATGTGCCCGCAACCAAGGTGCATGCCCTTGACCGGAATCGAACCTGGGACCCTTCAGTCTGCAGGCCGACGCTCTATCCACTGAGCCAAACCGGTTAGGGCCTGCCTAACATGTTCTTAACATAGAGCGGGTGAGCTATGTGACATCCCAGTTTCCATGGGTCAGACGCGGTCAAACACTGTCCACAGTTCAGTGCGACTTACTGGACAGGGCGAGCAGAAGGGCAAAGAATGAGGGCTCTGAATAAAATATGAGTGGTTCTGAATCCCAGATCCAGGACTCATGAGCTGTGTAGTCTTGGGCCGGTGATTTAACCCCCTTCTGCTTGGGTTTCCTGTTGTGTGAAAGGGGGATACAGCGTGCCCCAAGCCACAGGCTGAACTGAAGGTTAAGAGTTAAACATGTACAGCATTGATTTAGCACAGGGCCTAGGAGGTTAGTGTAAGAAGTGAACCCAGTAAGAAGGCCGGTGGAATCTTTGACACTCGCAGCTCAAATGAATACCTTACCACCTGAACCCTTCAAACGACCCACCATGTTGCCAGGTACTGAAGAAGCATACCCACTTTAGAGACAAACGCTTTCAGATATAATTATTATTTCTTATATCCACCCAATCGGTCCTTTAAGCAGGCAATTAGCACCCGAATATCCTATGGCTCTTAGCGACGGATGGCTGTCGGACAACTTAAAACAGTTGAGTGCAATGGTTTAACTCCGCCTGCCAAGGCAATTCCATTTCCTCCATCAAACCTGGCTTAATTTAGAAAGCGAGCTCAGTGTTTTCCAGACGAGCAGGCCAGAAGTTACTCGCCACTCAGAGCATGTCTGAGATTCGCTTAGGAGCTTAATGCAACTCAACCTCAACAGCGTTCCTAGGAATGTGCGGGAAGCAAGTTCGCAGTTAAACACGGCAGAGACGATTACCAGCCATCTCCGGGGGGCGTGACCCTCACAGGGTCCATGGGGGTGGTAAGCAGCTCGGGTCTACGCGGTCAATGGCACGCGTCCTAAGGGGCTGGCAGGACACGCACACCCAGCAGCTGATGGCATCCGGGGAGACCTGTTCGCGGCAGCTGGGAAGGCTCCCCCACCAACAGGGCTGCCGGAACCCACCTGGCTGCGGGGAACCCGCCTGCCCGCCACGCGTGTATATATCCCCGCAAGTTCGCACATGCAAATGGTGGCTTTCGCGGGGCCGGAAACCGGGCACGGGCGCTTTCCTTCTTTCTTTTCTACGCGGCGGCTGCATTTTGTGGCTGGACACCGAGCCGCCACGGAGCAGAACCCTGCAAGCGCCATTCGGGACCCTCCGGGTTTCGTGCGCACTCCGGGCCCGGGCTGTGGCTTTCGGGATACCGGGCGGCGGCCGCCCAGCACGCCCCGTGCCCGGCCAGGTCGCGGCATGCGCGGCGGCGACGCCGTCGGGGCGACCAGGCGCGCCCACGCGGGACCCGCTGCTGCTCCGGGAGCCGGAGGACGGGGTTGGGGGACGGGGTCGTCGCGCGCTCCCACCCACGACCCGCGGCAGCCGGCGCCCCCCGCGATCCAGTCGGAGGCGACCAGGCCCGCAGACACGTCCCAGCCGCGGCCTGGGAGCTAGGACCCCCCCGCCTCCCGGCCCCGCCCCTCGGGGTCCCTTGGGCTCCGCACCCCGCGCCCCGCTCGGGGCGCCCCCTCCGGCCCCGGCCCGGCCCCTCCCGGCCCCACGCAGGCGCGCCAGGCCCCTCCCATCCCCCACCGCGCGGGGCCCGGGTGGGGGCGGGGCGACCCTCGGAAGGGGCGTGGCCTCCGGCCCCGACGCGCGCACGCGCTCTCGCCCCTCACGGCTACGTGTCGGGCCACGTGACGACCACCCCTCAAGTCCCCCGTGAAGCAACAGGACGTTAAAAAAAATCAAAAGAGGGTTTTTTTGTGGGGCGGCGGGGAGGGCGGGAGAGGCTCTTCCACACGGTCGCGCGGGAGGGGCATGCGGCCGGGCGGCGGCGTCCGGGGGCGCGTCCTGCGGGGAGTCCCCGTCCCCTAGCGCCCGCCCGCCCGCGGCAGCCCCCCCCGCCCTCCGCGCCCGCCCGCGGCGGCGACCCCGGCGCGGCCCAGCGCCCACCCGCGGGAGGAGCCGGCCGGCGGCCCGGGCGGGCGGGGCGGGGGAGGAGCGAGCCGCCGGCCCCGCTAACGGCCGCCCTGCGCGGCCCCGCCCGCCGCCCGCCCCCGGCCGCCCCTCCCCCCGCCGCCGCGGGCAGCGCCGCCTGAACTGAGGCGAACTCCGCCGCCAAGTGAGTGAGGAGGCGGCGGCGGGAGGAGGAGGAAGAGGAGGAGCGCGGTCGGAGCGCGGCGGCAGCGGCACAGCGGCGCCCGGCGAGACCCCGACCCGCGGCGCAGGCGGCGGCCGAGCGGGCGCGACCGGCCAGCGAGCGGCGGCGGCGGCGGCGGCGGCCGGTCTTCCTCGTCCGGCGCCGAGCGGCCCGCGGAGACCCGCCTCCCCGCCGCCTCGAGAGGGAGCCGCGCCGAGCGGGCGGGCGGGCGGGCGGCCCGGAGCCGCGGCGGAAAGTGCCTGCGGGGCGGGGGCGCGCGGTCCGGCCGCCCGGCGCGGGAGCAGCGGAGCGGGACGCCGAGTCCCGAGCGGCCGGCGGCCGGGGCTCCCCGCCCCTCCCTCCTCGCGGGCGGCGGCGTGCGCGGCGGAGCCTGGAACATGGTCGGGGAGATGGAAGCCAAGGAGAAGCCCAAGCCCACGCCGGATTACCTGATGCAGCTCATGAACGACAAGAAGCTCATGAGCAGCCTCCCCAACTTCTGCGGCATCTTCAACCACCTCGAGCGGCTGCTGGACGAGGGTGAGCGGCGGGGGCCGGGGCCGGGGCCGGGCGGGCGGGAGGCGGCGCGGGGCCGGGGCCGGGCGGGCGGGCGGGACTCGCGGCGGGACGCCACCCGGACCCCGCGCCGGGACCCCGCGCCCCCCGGTGGGCGCCGGCGAGCTGGGCGGGCCGCCCGGGGAGGAGCCCGGCCCGCGCCCCCGGGCGCCTGAAGGACACGGCGCGGGCCGCTCCCGGGGGCTCCCCGGGGACGCGGGGCTCCGGCGCGGGCCGGCGGCGCTTTGTTGGAGTTTGCGCCGCGCGGACGCCGGAGGGAGCCGCGGGCGGGGCGGGGCGGGCGGCCGCCGGGCGCGGGGGCCTTTGTTTGGGGAAGCGGCGCCGCGGGACGAACTTCCCGGGGCCCGGCCGGGGCGCCGCGCGGGCCGAGTTCCGGCAACTTCGCGGGGGCGCTCGGGACGCGCCCGCGGCTTCGGGACGGGACCCGGCGGCGAAGGGGGCGAGGGAGCCGGGGGCGGGGGGCGCCGCGGGCGGCGGCGGCTCGGGGCTCGGGGCTCGGGGCTCCGGTCCGGCCGCCAGTCCCGCAGCCGCGCCCGAGGGTCCGCTGGGCTCCGGGCCGCGCGCTTCTGCGGGGGTGGCAGCGGGCAGCGGGCGCTCGGCGGGACCGGGAGCTGTTCGGGGTGGGGGACAATGGCTCTGGGTCCCACCGGGCCTGGGCGGGGGCTTCTCCCCGCGGCGCCGGGCCAGGGGCCGAGGCCGAGAGCCGGTGTCAGTGCAGATAAAAGGCCCGACCCGTTCCCGTGATGAACATGGTTCCCGAAGAACCGGAGCCCCGTGGCCGGGAAGCCGGGCCGACAGCCCTGAAAGTGCGAACAGGTCCCGCCGAGCCCTCGCCGCGCTGGCGCCGCGGCCCGAGCGCGACCCTGTTGGACGGCCGCCCGGTCGGCACGGCGAGCCCCTCCCGCGGCCGGAGACCCGCTGTCCCTTTAAGGGGCTGCTGTTCGCGGCACTTGAAGGATCGTGGAGGCAGAAAACTTTCTGGAATGTCAAAAAAAAAAAAAAAAAAAAAAAGCTGGCCGCCGCCGCCGCGGCCTTCCCCGTGCGGGCGCGAGGGGGCGCCCGTCGTCCTGGTCAGCGGGAGGCTGGTCGGAGCCGAGGGCTGGACTCCCCCCGGTCCTTGCGGACGGGACTCCGCGGGCACGCCGCCCGAGTTACACCCGCGCCCGCAGACTCCGATCACACTCAAACTCGGCTCACACTCAGCTCACACTCACACTCACACTCAGACACAGCTACCCTCCTCCCGCCGCGGGTGCGGGGCCGCGGGAGCGGCGGGGCCGGTTCCGTGACGGCGGTTCCTTCCTGGGAGCGGGCAGCCTGTAGGGACGGGAACGTGAACACAGGCCGGGCGATGTTGAGGGTTCAATCCTGTGACGTTGCTCTCCCTGAGTTAAGATCTTGAATTCAGTCTAATGGCATGAGATTATTTTTAAAGCACTTATGCGCATTATGTTAAAAAGTAAAGAACGAGAGCCTCTGATTAGTTCTAAAATGCTTCCATGTTCCTGTGTTGATCTAAAACTTCCGATAATTGGGGTTTGTTCTCTGTTAGGAAGTTGCTAACCTTGGACTAGATCATTTTAACCTCCTAAGTCTAAAATTCTAGTTCTGTCATTGCCTCAAACAAATGTTTGTTCATTTCGCTGTGGCTGGACATAGTGCCTGTTGGAGTGTTAAATGCCGGGCAGGTAGTGGAGGGCGATAGGTCCTAGGGAGCGTGGTTGGTTGGTTTGGTGTGGACGTGGTTAACCGTCAGCGCCGGCAGAAAGGCGCTTCCCCGTGGAGCCGGGCCTCTGAGGCCGAGTGGGAAGCGGGTTTATCAGCACAAACGCAGGAAAGGGGCTGTTTCTCGGGTGGATCAGCTGCTTCCCGTCATTGTTGGCCTCACTGTCAACTCCATTGGCCTCAAGGAAAAGCTGGTTTCTGAAGCATCACTTTTGTTTTCGTGCCGGTTATTTCGTTCTGAAATTTGGCCAGGGGGGCTTCCCCCCTTTGTGGCCTGTCACTGTCCAAAACAAATTCATCAGGACTTCTGTTTGGGATTAGGGGTTACATTTTCCTTTGGCTGGAAAATTCTTTTTCAATTTAGATAAAACTGTGAATTTTACTTGAGTGATTATTTTAATCACGGTACTGTACTTAGTTCCGTTAGGTGTAGTTTCTGGTAATTAGACATTTTGAGAATTTTGCATTTTTGAAGTTACATTTTAAAACATTTTTCAAAAGTAAGCTTTAAAGATTTTTGCTTGTCAGTGTGAGAATGCTTATTTGGCGAGTTCCACATTTGAGATTGAGGCTCTGGATTTCCTTCGTGGATTCACGCCGGGATGCTTTAGACAAGGGTTTTAATTCCAGGCCAGGTTAGCCTTCGCCTGCGCTTGGACTGTGGACCCTCTTTTGGGGGAGGGGGGAGGGGTGTCAGACCTTCCTCCCAGGCTCTTCAGCATGGTTGCTTTTTAAAGTTGTGAGCACATTCTAAGTTGGAACCGTCATATAAATGTCATATAAATATAAAGGGTGTACCTTAGTTGATAATTCTAGTACTTAAGAATCTTTTATTGAAGATAGGGATGATGACAGATAAAACCCAGGCCTTAAAATCTAAACTACTCCCTCTTCCGGGAGTTTTCAACTGAACTTTGGGAATATCCATGGGAAAGAGCAGTTATTATGAGGTTGTGTATTGTTTGATTTTTGCTTTTTTAAACATTTGTCAGGAAAATGAAACTTAAGCAGTAACAGTACCTGAATGAAAATTCGGTTTTTATAAACTATTGCAATTTACAATTGAGAAGAATTTTATTGAAAAATTAAATCAATTTGACTTAAAAATTCCAAATAGGGGAAAATGGAGAGCTAGGGATTTTAAAACCAGATTTTGAGTTTTTTATTTTTTAGGCAGAGGGGATGTTAAAGCTGCTGGTAATGAGAATTAACATGTATAATGTGGTTTATGAGGAAGGCCAGCCTAAATCTTTTTATTGTGAATATCTGAAAAATTTGTGTGTGGCTTAGAAAAAGAGCAAATGTGTTAGATTAGATTCTGCCATTACTGGTTTGGAAAATGCATTTTCATTTTCTCATGCTCTTTTTTTGGCGGGGGTGGGGGGGTGGGCATTATACATTCCCTTTTTTACCTCAACTTACTCGGCTCTCCCTTAAAAGTGGGGGGGCAAAAGTATTTTAAATTAAAACCTGCTTTGCCAGTTAACATTTTTCCATGCTGATGTTTACTTCCACTTATTATGCATTCATTGTTGAGTGTATTAAACCCTTAATTTTCTAACATCATTTTTAATTTTTTTTTTTTTTAAATTTTGCTTCTCTACAATAATTTTAGTTTAAAATTTAAGTGGCTAATAGTTGGTATTGCGAGGCCTCTTGCTGTATACATTTATACTTAAGGTTTAGGGTTTTCTTTCCAGATGGATTGTTGACAGTAATCAGTATCTGTGACAAACAGATTTTACTTAAGTTAAAGCAATTAATGTATATTTTTAATCAGTCTGTTTTTCAGGAGCAAAGATTTTGCTTTTGTACACAGTTCTTTGAATTAGTAGTAATAAGAAGGAAGCCAATATTTATAATCAGTTCTTTCCATTGTCCTTTTTTCTCCTCACCCAGGAGGTGTCACCAAATGTATAAAATAATAATGGGAGTAATTTCTATCATAGACCATTTATTCAACATTCATTCTGTATTTTTGAAGCTTAACTCCCCCACAGGCAGAATATGTATTCAAATACTGTGAGGCAGAAGGTGACTCCTTTTTTAAACTTTATCCAGTTTACATGTTTTGTAGTAAAAAGCTATACTCCCCAGGATATCATGTGATGGAGTTCATAGAAATAGGTCTCTTTGCTAATTGCATTTTCTAGTATGTTTGGTATGAGCATTTTTCTAAAATGGCTTTGGGAATATCAGTGAAAACAAGCCGACTTTTTAAATATTGTGCACACATATTTCTGTTATTAGCTCCTCACTAAATCATTGTCCTGAAGCTGATTGAAGTCATCCTTTTTCCATAAGGACAAGCAGTTTTGATTTGCTTCTTGAGGGATAATAGAGTGCTGCAACAGAAGACTCCAGTATTGCCCTATCCCTATGCTTCGACCTTGTCTTATTGAGGCCCGATACTCCTTTTTGAGGCCAGGATACTTAGATCTGTAAGGTTTTTGTTTTAGAGAATTACACCAGTTTGATCATAGGGACAGCTTTTAATAATCTGGAATGGAACTACATTTTAATTTTCTTGCAGTTCCATGTAGTTAATACAATTTGTTTGATTTATGGTGTACTTACAAGTAAAACTTGCCTTTCTCAGTTGGAGATGGAGAATGCTGTGCCATTGTTGGTTATATTTGTTGATAACATAAACACAGCCCACTGAGCAACTTTCGGTTGTTGGTCTGCCAACTATTGTGAAGGTACCCGAGGTCTGCTTTGGCCAGCGGGTAGGGCTAGTGCGTGGGCCCATGTCAGGAAGTCATAATTGGAATTATGTGTCAATTTTTTACTTACATAGTGACAGGACTTAATTATTCTTGGGCCCCTCTATTTTTTGACATTAAGACAGTTCATTGTGAATTTTAAGTGCAATAAGTTATTTTTCCCTTAATGAGAACTTTTAGGGGATGCTTATACAAACCCTTTTAAAAATTGACATTTCAGTTTTGGGGCCCAGAATAGCTACATTGTTTGATGTCCAAGATTTTTACAGCTTTATTTTCATTTGTCAGCAAAAATAGCATCAAACTTTTCAGTATGAGCACAGTTTGTTAGTGCAATGAAATGTGACTGGGGCGGGGCTAAAAATATTAATACTTTTCCTCTCACTTTCTAAGTTCTAGCTGGGCAAATTAAGCTAAGAGACATTACCAGGAGACAATCAGATTTTAAATACATGTATGTGGGGAATTCACACAAGCATGAGAATTCCAGAGACGGGAGGCCACATTGGGATT